ATTCATATATACCAACAATAGTCAAGCTGAATAAACTGTCATGGACTCTATTCCCCTTACAGTAGTGCCAAAGAAAATGAAATACCTGGGAGCGTATCTAGCAAAGGACGTGAACGATTTCTATAAAGAGAACTATGCAACTTTGAGAAAAGAAATAGCCAAAGATGTCAACAAATGGAAAAACATACCATGCTCATGGCTGGGGAGAATCAACATTGTTAAAATGTCTCATACTACCCAAAGCAATTTACAGATTGAATGCAATTCCTATTAAAGCACCTCTGTCATACTTCAAAGATCTGGAAAAACTAGAACTTCATTTTACATGGAGTCAGAAAAAACCTCAAATAGCGAAGATATTACTCAGAAATAAAAACAAATCAGGTGGAATCATGCTACCAGAATTCAGATTACACTATCAATCTATAGTGATCAAAACAGCATGGTATTGGCACAAAAATAGAGAGGTAGATGTATGGAATAGAATTAAGAACCAAGAGATGAACCCAGGCACTTATTGTCAATTGATCTCCTATCAAAAACTTAAATTGGGGGAAAGACTGCCTATTTAACAAATGGTGCTGGGAGAATTGGCTGGCAACTTGTAGAAGACTGAAACTGGACCCACACTTTTCACCTCTAACAAGAATTGACTCTCACTGCATAAAAGACTTAAACTTAAGACACGAAGCCATAAAGATTCTTGGAAAGAGTGCAGGAGAAACACTTGAAGAAATTGGTCTGGGAGAAAACTTTGTGAGGAAGACCCCCAGGACAACTGAGAGAATATTTTATGAGGAGGACCTCGCAGGCAGTTGAAGCAAAACCAAAAATACATTACTGAGATCTGATCGAACTAAAAAGCTTTTGCACAGCCAAGAGCACAGTAAATAAAGCAAACAGACAACCTTCAGAATGGCAGAAGATTTTTGCAGGTTATGCTTCCGACAAAGGTCTGATAACTAAAATCTACAGAGAGCTCAAACTAATCAATAAGAAAAGAACAAATAATCCCATTTCTATGTGGGCAAGAGACTTGAACAGAACCTTCTCTGATGAAGACAGGCACATGGCCTACAAACACATGAAAAAATGTTCATCATCCTTAATCATCAGAGAAATGCAAATCAAAACCACTTTGGAGGGGAGAGAGGAAGGGAGGGTAGGGCAAGGATGGGTGGAAGGAGGGTGATTGGTGGGATTTTGCCTATGGTTCATCTTACAAGGGTACATGTGAATCTTTCTAAATATAGAATATAAATGTCTTAACACAATAACTAAGAAAATGACATGAAGGCTATGTTAACCAGTTTGATGAAAATATTTCAGATTGTATATAGAACCAGCACACTGTACCCCATGACTGCATTCATGTACACAGCTATGATTTAATTTAAAAAAAAAAACACTTTGAAATATCATCTAACTCCAGTAAGATTAGCCCACATCACAAAATCCCAAAACTACAGATGTTGGTGTGGATGAGGAGAGAAGGGAACGCTTATATACTGCTGGTGGGAATGCAAGTTAATACGATCTTTTTGGAAAGAAGTTTGGAGAATACTCAAGGAACTAAAAGTAGACCTTTCTTTTGATCCTACAATTCATCTATACCCAGATGATCAAAAATTATCTTACAACAAAGACATTTGCACCAGAATGTTTATTGAAGCCCAATTCATAATAGCCAAGACATGGAAACAGCCCAAGTGCCCATCTCCCGTGAATGAATTAACAAATTATGGTATATGTATGCCATGGAATACTATACAGCCATAAAAAAGATGGAGACTTCACGTCTATTATATTTACCTGGATGGAGCTGGAACATATTCTTCTTAATAAAGTATCTCAAGAATGGGGGAAAAAGTATCAATGTACTCAATACTACTATGAAATCATTATATAACCACCTACACACTCATACAAATGGCAAAACACAACTATAGTCCAGAAAGTAGGAGGGAAAAGGAGAGAGGAGAGGAGAAGGAAGATATGTGAAGAGGGAGGGAGGGTATTTGGGGGGACCTCACCTAATGTGCATGATGCAATGGTACATTTCAAAACTATTAAGAAATAGGTATAATTGTGATGGATGTGTTACTTAGTTCAATGTAAACATTTCATATTGTATATCAAAGCAGTACCCTAAACCCCATAAATGCAACAATGTACAAAGTTATGATTTAATAAAAAAATTAATTAAAAAAGAAAGATTGTCTTTTTTATTGGTAGAGTATCTCTAAAATGAAAATGTTGCAATTAAGTAATCAGTAGACTTTATATATAAAGATCTCTCTACTTCACATCTCTAGACTATAAATAAAAATGACTTGAATCAAAAGTATTTGAATAAATGGCTTTGACATTGAATAAGAAACCTGTTCAGTTAGCTGCTCCTATTCCACACTCCTTGAAACGATTCAGGTATCTAAACTTTAATTAAAAGTTTTTATTTTAGCCAAGGAAGAAGAAGGTGAATTGCAAAGCCTAGACTATGTGTATGTGTGTGTGTGTTTCACAGGTGAAATCTGATTTTCAATCTTTCTTTTTACTTTATTTAAAAGGAAAAAATTTTTAAAGTATAATTTATAAGCTGAGCTGATCACCAGATTCAAGGTAACAAGAACTTCATAATTTAGTAGAACTGGCAATGGTGACGTTCACGTGCCGGCACATCTTGTTCCTTGACCTGCCACGGCCCAGGCTGGACCTCTGAACCTCAATAACGAGGTCATGAAGAGAAAAGTAGTGAAGAGGATACGAGTTTTGGTTTTCCGAAAACTTGTCAGAATTGTTAACAGACTGAAGTCAAAAAAGGGTACTGAAGATGCACTGTTACAAAACCAAAGACGAGCACAACGATTACTTGAAGAGATCCATGCCATGAAGGAATTAAAACCTATCTAGTGACTAAATCTGCTCTTGGTGAAGATATCAACTTTGAAAAAATCTGCAAAAAGCCAGATTCTACTGCAACTGAATGAGCAATTGCCAGACTAGCAGTACGCCTGCTTCTGTAGAAAAAAATAGAAGTGCTAAAAGCTGCTGTCCAGGCATTTAAAGATGCCTGACAAAATGTTACTGAACTAGATTCACAGAAGAATGCTTCAGAGGAAAATCATTTTGAGGATACTTTGTGTTCAAATGATAATGCAAGTAAGTTACAGCAGGAAGAAGTTAGTATTATCAATGAGCAAAATGTAAAAGAAGCCAAAATTTTGGCAAAGAAACCAATAAATAACTCAAAGACAAAAATGGCCAAGATGGAACATGGACCCAAAGCAGTAGGCATTCCAACTCCTCCATCAAAACCTTCGGGAAAGGGTTCTGTAGTTCTCCCCGAACCCCAGAAGACACCTGCTTCCCCCAAGATGAAAACACAAAGTCAAACCAAAGAAAAAAAAGGATCTGATAGCTCACTTGGTGGTAACAGTGATGATGAAGAATTACATGAAGAGGAGAAGGAGTATTTTGATGACAGCATGGAAGAGAGGTTTTATAGATAGTCTTCCATGTCTGAGGATAGTGACAGTAGTGATGACTTCTTCATTGGGAAAGTCAGACCAACACGAAAGAAAGAAAGTAGTCATCGTTCTTCAGATAAGGAACAAAAGTCCCTCCAAAAAGAGTTACCCAAAGAAGGCACAAGTGAAACTCATTGGGACATAAATGACAAAAACAAGCCAAGTGCAGAACCCAGGAGATTAGAATCAGTGTTTTTCCACTCTTTATCTGGAGCTAAAGGCTCCAGAAGAGATTACAAAGAACAGGCTCCAAAAAGCAAAACCCTCAATTTTCCACAAAATGAAACCCAGGTCAAGAATCAGCTTAATAAAAATGCACAAGGAGGACTTAAAAATACAAAACAGCAATTGCAGCAGCCTCTTCATCCTTCATGGGAAGAAAGCAGAAGGCAAAAAGAACAGCAATCTAAAATTGCTGTGTTTCAGGGGAAAAAAATCACATTTGAAGATTGATTAATGTCTCTTTTTATGAAATTCTTCAACTAAAACTTACTTTCCTTTTTTTTTTTAATAAATGAGCCTGTTATTTAAAAAAAAAACTGGCAATGGGAAAAAAATAATTACCATAAATATCTAAGATAAATCCAGTAAAGAGAGGGTAAAGGAATGAGAGAAACTTAAAGACAATTACACTTAGTAAAGTCATGGAAAGGTATCACTGATAATAGTTAAAATCTATTTAAACAAATTATTTAAAAATTGTTCAAAAATGTGTGGTTTTCCAAGTTATACCTCAGAATATATTTCCTAAAAATTAGAGAGTAATAAATTAAATAATGGTGAATAAGAAATAATTAAGGCTCATATTTTAAATAGTACTATATCCATAGAGAAATAAGAATCACAATGATTTATACTTAAGTAAAACCATACATAGTGTCATCACAGGTCAGAACTGTAACAGGGACTGGGAGAAATCCTCAGATATATCAGAGAGGCTGATTATAGAAACATATGCCAATTAAATAAAAGCACAGGTCGTGTGATTTGTGCTCCATATAGGTGTGATAGGGTCAGGCCCATCATGACCATTTGCTTTGCACTATCTGCCAAAATGTGTGTGATTTGTGCTCCATATAGGTGTGATAGGGTCAGGCCCATCATGACCATTTGCTTTGCACTATCTGCCAAAATGTTCTGAAATAACATTTTGGTAACTCACATGAGAAGCATTGCTCCTTAATTATTTCTGAAAATGAACTTGAAACCAGTACTCATAATTTGTGATTTCAAAACAAAAACCCAAAGTTGACAAGGAAAGAGGATTAAGTGACCTTTAATACCCAGGCTGCATGCACAATCATGCCCATACACAAGACCCAGACACATAAGCTCCCTGGGCTCTCTGCTTCAAACCTCCTCCCACACTTGAGCATGGACAACCAGGACCCATAATGAAAGTTTGGGCCACCCCTGAATGCATTCAAGGGCATCATTAGAGAAGACATGTGATACTGAGTGAGAGTCACTCACCCTTGGTCTTTCTCAACTCCTCCACAAGGCAGCGGGCCTCCTCTTGGACACGTTCCTCAATGCTCCTCTTCCCCATCCCCAAATTCCTCAATGTCATGAGGGAGAAGCGCCGTATCTCCTTCCACCTATTTCCATTGCTGAAAACAATACCTACCAGGATAGGAAACAGAAAGTAGGAGAGAAATCCCAGGCAAGGAGGAGGGAACTGTCACTCCACAGCCATGTGAGTGGTCCAGACTCTGTCCTAAGAGCTCTTCAGGCCTCTGATCACATCCACTTCACACTCTTTACAACTGCTGCCTCAGCCACATCCTACTTACCAAGTCCTTTACTAGTTTTTTCAGTAATTGGTAAAAGGCCTCTTCCAGAAAACTCCTCTCCATGATCAATCAGGGCTTCCTTTATTGCTTCATATCCATGCAACACCACGATGGGCTTCATACCAAAATACAACGTGAATACAGGACCGTAAACTTTTGATAACTGGACAATGGAAAGGAAATGCAAATAACAATAAAATAACTCAGTATTTGATTTATGCATCGTGCCTGATTCAGAATGATGCTATTGTTGTATCACTGTGTATGTTTTTACTCTGCCAGATATATCTGAATTTTAGGCAGAAATGTGATGGGGATAGTCATCAGCTGACACTTATTAATGGCCTCCAATGTGCCATGCAATGGCCTGGGCAGTTGGTACATAGGTCACAGTAAATCTCACATTGCAAACTCCATCAAAATAGCGACATCATTTTTTACAGCTCTAGATAAATTAGTCTACAACTTCATGGAACCAAAAATGAATGCAAATAACCAAAGCAAGCTTATGCAAAAAGAATAAAACTGGAAGAATCACATTATCTGATTTCAACCTCTTCTATAAGACTATAATAACCTAAATGGGGTGTCCCAAAGGTGGTCATACATGGGGAAGATGGGAAGTGTGTCTGAATGTACCTTTATTTACAAAATATTCATTACAAGATTTTACACAATATTTATAAAATATTCTTTACATGTTGGCCACATCTTTGTAGGGTTTTGTGGTGAATATTTCATAAATATAAGTATATTTGGCTATAGTTTCCTGTTTTCCCTATGGATGACAACTTTTGGGACCCTCTGTATGGTAAAACATGGTGACTATAGTTAATAACAATGTATTTCATTCTTGTAAACTGGTAAGAAAGTAGATTGTAAGTGTTCTCAACAGAAAAACTGATAAGTGTGTAAGGTAACACATACGTTAGCTCAATTTAGAAACTGCCTAATGTATATATACACAGTCCAAAACAACATTTTGTATATGCAAAATATATACAATTTTTGTCAATTAAAAACAAATATATATTATATAAATTAAAATAAAACATAATGACCCTCTCACAGGAGTAATGTGAAATCCCCTTGTGGCATTATTAGCATTTTTCTGATAATTAGTGATGTTGGTAGAATGTACAAAATTTCAGTTGGATAAATACAATAAATTCAAAAGATCTACTCATTTCATTTCCTTTGGACATATACCCAGTAGAGAGATTGCTGAGTCACATGGTAATTCTATTTTTAATTTCTTGAGACACTGCCAAGGCATTTTCAATAGTGGCTATACTAAATTACATTCTCATCAACAGTGTGCAAGTGTTGCCTTTTCTTCACATCAGCTCCAACAGATATCATCGTTCTTCTTTTCATAATGGAGAAGGCTATTATTGAATAGTCTAAAAACAATTGATCCTGGCATGTATGCAGTGAATAATGAAAGCTTATACAGTATTGATGGGACTATAAATAAGTACAATGTGTATGGGAAACAGTATGGAGATTCCCAAAAGAACTAAAAGTAAACCTACTTTCTAACCAGCAATTCCACTACTGGGTATCTATCCAAAGGAAAAACAGAATGATGATTTCAAAAGACATGTGCCCCTGAATGTTTATTGCACCACAGTTAACAATTGCAAATATATGGAACCAACCTAAGTACCTATCAGTTGATGAATGGATAAGTACTATTCAGCCATAAAAAGGAAGAAAATAATGTCACTGCAGAAACTTGTATGGAACTGGAACCATTGTCCTAACTGAAGTATACCAAGAATAGAAAAGCAAACATCACATGTTCTCATGGAAAAGTGGAGATTAATGATGGGTAAACGTGGCTAGGAAGAGATATTAAGGATATTTGAAAACAAAAAGGGAGAAGAGACATAGGGGGAAGTGCAGTGAGGACTAAAAACTTGCCTATCTGGTACGGTGAACACTGCTGTGGCGACAGGCACACTAAACCCCAACCCTCAGAATTTCACAATTCACAGAACAGAAATACTCATCCATCTTTAACATTATAAAATTTAAAATAATTCTCACCTTAAACATTTAGCAAATTCAGTTCCCACGGGTAATGTTTAGAATATCCAAATCTTACTCTCTACTTATTCAAATTCTGATGCTTGAGAAATTTATCAGTTTATCAGTTGCTCATGTCTACCTTAAGACCAATACCCTACTGACTACTTTAGAATCACTTGAAAAGCTCTTGCCATGGGGAGCCTGACTCAATAGGCCTGTGATTAATACTACAAACCTATATAGTTTTAAAGTTATCACAGGTGATTCTAATACCCCTACCTGTTTGGGATCTGGTGTTACTACCAAGGCTGAAACACTGAGCATCACAAAGGCAGTGCCAGGACATGTAACATCTCCTGACAGAGCAATATTTTCAATCTGCCAGCATTCTGGACCATGTATCTCAGCTTTCTACAGACTCTAAAAGAACTCTAATACTACCCATTGTGCCCTGACCAGTCACTTGTTTCTTTCACTCACTTATAGCTCTCTTTTATTATTTATATTAAACATAAATTGGTTATTAAGAGTTTAATTTTCATGGCTATTCCGAATAAAATGCATGGCTATTGTGACTCATTAAATGAAATATCTAATCTCTCACACTTCTCTTACCACTTACCTTGAGCCAAAAATTATAGCAAATGACTACAAAACAAAGAAGGGATACATATCTCTGGACTTTTGCTGCTAATTATTTTGGTTCTTCTATACAATAGCCTAAATGTTCCTCTATTCACAAAATTCATAGCTTCTTTCCACTATTTCTGCCAGTGAAAGACTGGTAAAGGCCACAGAAGCATCAGAGTTTATAGGCATTATTTTGCTTTACAATGGTCTATTATACCAATATGGTTCCAGGAGAACCTTCCAATAACTCACTCTTTGTAAGTCACTAGAGGAACATAAAACATACTTACATTCTTTATACTTTTCCTGATGTCCTTAATATCCATCTGTAGGCTATTTCCAATAATAGGAAGAGGAGTGGGGCCAGGTGGGAGCTTCCCTCTCCCAGAGCTCTGTCTCCAGAGAAAAAGGAGAAGCAAACAGGAGAGACAGAGCACCAGGGCCACAGCTGGGTCCATTGCAGCCTTCTCTTCCTGCTAAGACAACAGTGACCTTGCACTCCAAGGCTTTTATAATCCTCCCTGCTCTATTAGGTATAACATGGCCAGTCACCTAGAACTATGTGATGTTCTGTTTGAGTGAACTTTGGATCATTGATAGAGAGAATGGTACCTAGCCTGGGCATTCTGGATTAATTGTACTGGATAAAGGATAAGTGTTGGTAATTTTTATTTTTTTTTAAAAAAGCCCTGATGGTTCCATTCAGATTGTTGCTAAAGTATCAATTTATCTTTTTTTCATCACTGAGTATGGAACACATTTTATTAATCTATTCATGAACTGATGAGCACTTTGGGTTGATTCCACATCTTTGCAAATATGCAATAGAAAAACAAACACCACATGCAGCTACTATGCAATTTGGACTAATCAATGAGCACACATGTGAACAGAGGGAAAGAAAACGCAGCAAAAAACAACCAGGAGGAGGGGATAGGAGGGAAGGATAAAAAAACCTACCTGATGGATAAAATGAACTCTATTTGGGTGACAGTCACAAGCATTACAAAAGTGGTCCATATAACCTAAAACATTTGTACTGAAGCACTGAAGTAGATAATTTGATGCAATAAAACCACTAAAAATTTTGGATTCTTATATTATAAAAAGTCTGCAGGTTAAGAACAAGGTAGATTCTGTAGGTTTGTTCCCAAGTTAAATTTGTATGTAAGTTGGAACAGGTATAATTACCTATTACCTAGTAGCTTTCATTTGTAAGTGTAAATTGTATGTAAGTCAGCTGTATAGAAGTCATGGTCAGGGATAATGCATGATGTCAGGAGAATACATAGATCAGTGTATTCTATGTCTTCTATATAAAAATGAATATTTTGATGGTAATCCAAACATCAGCAGATGTTATCTTAGATAATGAAATCCTTTTATATACTTAATATAATTTATTAACATTTTAACTACCTAAATATGCAATGGCTAACATGATTTATGCATCTAGAATAACAAAACATAGATTGAGTTATTAGCTAACAAACTGATTCATCTTTCAACATTAAATAAGAAAAATAAGCCTCTGAAGATAGAGATTATCACTTCTTATTTTTCAAATGGAGAAAGGGAGGCTGGGAGAATGGGAGACCTTTCACCGCTACACAGCTCCACGGGTGCTGAGGGGATTAGGATAGAGTTGGAGGAAGGGTCCATAAGAAGAAGAGGAGGGATTAGAAAGCCTTTATTAGAAGAGAGAGAAAAAAAGAGAGAGACGAGAGGTGTCATCTTTTTTCTGCAGAGTAAATGATGCTGGATCAGAGATTGATCTTAGAATTAGTCCCTTAGTCAAAGGTGTTAATATTGCACCGAGGCCTTATCTCTAGTGTCAGCCAGGACTAGGGTAGGAGATTGCTTGTTCTGCTGTTTCCCAGGAGCACTGAACTTGAAGCATTCCAAGAGTGTGGGGAGGGAAGCATTCCAGAGTGTTGCTCTGTCCATGCTGTTAGGTCTCTGACCACTTTCTATCACTAGCTCTCTTCCCAAGATGGCTATACTCTCATCAAGGTCATGAGGATTTGTAGGGGATTTCTGTGACCATGCCACTCACCTTCTGACCTATATTCTATCACTAGCAATCTTCCTAAGATGGCCATACTCTCATCAGGGCTGTGAGAATTTACAGGAGAGGGAAAAGTGGGTTGCTGTGGCCATGTGGTCTGGTTTCTGGCCTGCTTTATCTCACTATCTGTATCCCACATGGCTGTACTCTTGTCAGGGTCATGAAGATTTCATCTACACAGGTGGCAGAACTAGGATTTGAGCTGAGACCTTCAGATGCCCACTGTGGTACATTATCACTTACACCACAGCTGCCTGGAGAACAACTTTACCAAAATAAAACAAATCCCCAAACATTAGTTGCTCAGAGTGTACAGCACATTGGATCTCTTCATAAAGTAACAGGCTTCTCATTATACAGATTCCCCTTATTTGACTCCAAGGATAACAGGACATGGGGTGCTCAAGAGCAGTAATAAAAGAAAGGATTTGCTCCTTTTCATGCTTGCAGACATGAATCCTGCTCAGAACAACTCAGGGAGGAGCCAATTTCAGAGGTTTAGCAGGGAGGGCTTGAGAAACTGTGGCTTCTCCCACTCCCAGTCACCTCAGGACACCGCTGTTTCTGTTGTCTCTGGTCTGTCATTGTCAGAGGTTCTATCACCTCTGTAGCATTGCACAACAAGAAAGGGAAAATATAGACAGAACAACGGTTATGGATGCAATAGAAGATGAGAGGGAGAGAAATCATTAAACAGAACCACAGCACAAAAGCAGCACAATGTGCAGACCTGAACAGGAGCTGACTTCAGTGATGTAAATACACCCAGATGACATACATGACAGGTCATAATGACACTGCAAAGGTATGTTCTGTAAAGATAATCATATTTTTTCTAAATTATCTAGTATAGTTATTTCCAGCTCTTTTATAGAGAAAGATTAAGTTATATCAAGACCCACTTACACAATTGTTTGATCAGGGATTGTTTACAGGGATTCTGACAGTTTACAGAGAATTTTCATACCCATCATATGTCATATTCTATCAATTACCTTTGCCTGAGGTAAAATGATTCCCATCTTAAGGAAGGGAAAGCTAGGCCTTGGTGATTCAGTACTTAGGCCAAGGACACACAGACTAGAGGTGGAAATGCTGACTCTGAAACCAGTAACCCCAGCCTGCCAAGCACAACATTCAGAACCCAAAACATTCAGATCCCCCAAAATGTGTTCACCAAGGTTCATTGATTATGTGCTAAGATTCAATATTTTATTATTCAGGCCAGCCAGTGAATTTCAAAATGAACAATAATTTAGTTAATAATTATAGCACCAATTGATTGAAATGGGGTTCAGAAGAGTTTAAATGGTTATAAAACCAAACTTTATAACCTTTAATACTCGAGTGCAGGTTGTTTTGAATTCTTTTCTAGGGCAAAGAGAAGCGTAATTTTCTACCTGACTCACATTGGGCAAAACCACAAAAGAAATCACACCAGGTTATTTGAGTAAAATAAGCTCAATAGGTTTCTTTAGAGCAATGGTCTCATTCCTTGAGACATAAGTGTCCCTGCTCTGTTTCTCTTCCCTTCTGCTGAGCTGAGAGGTTTCTGCCTAGTGTTTTCTTTTTTTAGAAGAAAGGAATCATAGATAATATGATGTTGTTGTTGATACATATACATGTAAACATGAAGGTGTTGATTTTGTAACCTGAAATGCTGCTGTATTCCTTGATCACTTCTAAGAGTTTTGTAGTAGAGTCCCTGGTGTTTTCCAGGTATACAATCATGTCATCTGCAAAGAGTGAAAGTTTGATCTCTTCTGATCCTATGTGAATACACTTGATTGCCTTTTCTTCCTTAATTGCAATGGCTAAAACTTCCATTACAATGGTAAATAGTAATGGGGATGATGGGCAACCTTGCCTGGTTCCTGATCTGAGTGGAAATGAATTCAATTTAATTCCATTCAATATGATATTGGCTGTGGGTTTGCTGTAGATGGCCTCTATCAATTTGAGAAAAGTCCCTTCTATGCCAATTCTCTTAAGTGTTCTAATCATGAATGGATGCTGGATATTGTCAAAAGCTTTTTCTGCATCAATTGAGAGGATCATATTGTCTTTGTTTTTTAATTTGTTTATGTGATGAATTATATTTATAGATTTACATATGTTGAACCAGCCTTGAGATCCTGGGATAAAACCCACTTGGTTGTGGTATATAATTTGTTTGATGTGCTGTTGGGTTCTGTTTGTTAGGATCTTGTTGAATATTTTTGCATCAATATTCATTAGAGATATTGGTCTATAATTTTCTTTTCTTGTTGAGTCTTTTCCTGGTTTGGGGATCAAGGTGATGTTTGCTTCATAGAATGTGTTGGGTAGTATTCCATCTTTTTCTATATTTTGGAAAATATTAAAGGTTTGGTAGAATTCTGACGTGAAGCCATCTGGTCCCGGGCTTTTCTTTTTAGGGAGATTTTGTATAGTTGATGCTATTTCAGAGCTTGATATAGGTCTGTTCAACATTTCCACTTGGTTCTGATTAAGTCTTGGAAGGTGGCGTGCTTCCAAATATTGGTTGATTTCCTTCAGATTTTCATATTTCTGAGAGTAAAGTTTCTTGTAGTATTCATGGAGGATTTCTTGAATTTTTGAGGGGTCTGTTGTTATTTCATCTTTACCATTTCTAATTGATGAAATTAAAGATTTAACTCTTTTTTTCTTGGTTAGGTTGGCCAGCAGCTTATCTATTTTGTTGACCTTTTCAAAAAACCAACTTTTTGATTTGTTAATCTGTTGTATAACCCTTTTGTTTTCAATTTCATTTAATTGTGCTCTAATTTTGGTTATTTCTCTTTTTATGCTAGGTTTCAAATTGGAGTGTTCTTTTTCTAGTTGCTTGAGATGTCCCACTAAGTTGTTAACTTCTTCTCTTTCCATTTTCTTGAGGAAGGCTTGCAGTGCGATAAATTTCCCTCTTAGGACTGCCTTTGCAGTATCCTAGAGGTTCTGATAACTCGTCTCTTCATTGTTGTTTAGTTCCAAGAATTTGGTAATTTTCTTCTTGATCTCATCTCTGACCCATCTATCATTGAGCATAAGGTTATTTAGCTTCCACATTTTTGTTTGGGTCTGCAGATTTCAGTTGTTGCTGAGTTCAACTTTTAATCCATGGTGGTCTGAGAAGATGCAAGGGATAATTTCTATTCTTTTAAATTTGCTGAGGTTAGACTTGTGACCTAGAATGTTTATTAAGGTGAAATGTTCATAGATATTCGTTAAATCCAAATGCTGAATGGTTAGGTTTAGAGCCAAGATTTCTTTGCCAAACTTCTTGTTGGAGGATCTATCCAGCACTGCCAAAGGAGTATTAAAATCTCCGACTATGACGGAGCTGGGAGTAATCAGGTTGCTCATGTCCGTTAGAGTGTCTCTTATAAATTGAGGTGCATTCTGGTT